GTGTGTGTGTATTTTTTGTTGTTGTTGGTTTATTGTCAGTCCTGGAGTTGAACTCAGGGCCTGGGAACTGTCTCTGAGCATTTTTTGCTCAAGGCTAGTGCTCTACCACTTTGGGCCACAGCACCATTTTGGGTTTTCTGGTGATTAACTGTAGATAAGAGCCTCACAGACTTTCCTGCCTGGGCTGGCTTTGAACCGTGATCTTAAGCTCTCAGCCTCCAGAGTAGCTAGGATGACACTCGTGAGCATGAGCATGTATTAGTGGATGACAAGGGGAAGGTCTTGTATGTTTTGAAAGTAATAAGCATCTACATACAGTATATATTTTTCCCATGTATTATTTTAGGCGTTCTCACTACTTCTTAAAAGTAGCCAACATTTCTGCACACTATTTTACAAAGATCCTAATCACTATTCAGAGTTAGTGAAAATCACCATTATTCATTTCTTCCCCTTCCTTTTCTTTTTCAGTGCCGCATCTTTGCTGCATCGGCTCTGGACCACTGAAACATGCCTCCAGCTCATTTTGACAAAACAATTATACATTCAAACATTTAAATGATGCAGCCAAGCAGGGAACCCACATTCCATGAGAACCCTCTCCCCAGTCACTGTGGCTGACACTTCTTTGGGGGGGGGGGGGACTGCTGGGAACCTGGGAGTGAATAACTAAGGTAGGGAATGGATGTATCCTGGCAAGATGAGATGAAGCATGGAAATCTCCCACTGGCCTGGGCCCAACCCTCCCTTCTGGGCATGCGCACACCTTGCATGGCTAGCAGGTACTCCACACACCCAAGCTGACATCACCACCATCCACCCAGGGCCACAGCACTCATTCCTGAGTCCTTCCCAGCCTGCCTCTCCCTCTCCAGCCTCAGGAGCTGCTCCCACCCGTGACCACAGTCACGTCTGCTCATCCTCATTGCCACTTTCTTAACGCAGTGCCAGGGCATCTCCCACCTGGATTCTCTCTCTCTCTCTAAAATTTTATTGCCAAGGTGATGTACAGAGGGGTTACAGCTGCATAAGTCAGGTGATGAGCACATTTCTTTTTGAACAGTGTCACTCCCTCCCTCCTTTTCTCCCACTTTTTCTCCTCGCAATCCCCCCCCCCCCGTTGTAAAGTTCATTTCCAACATAGTGTCAAGTGAGTATCGCTGTTGAATTGGTTCACCCCTGACCTCACCATTTCTGTGATTTCCCCTTCCCTTCCCCAAATCAGATAACCTTATATACCAGAGAAATGGTACCAAAATGAAAAACAGTGACAACAGGGGATAAACCAAAGGGGTGGGGGGATGAAAGAAATAAAGAAAAAACTGCAATTAGTACATGTACACACACACACACACAAACACCTCTTGTTTCCATATTTTGGAGTTCATTTCAATTAGCATCATTTTATATGGTCATGTGTACATAGCTATTGAGCTATTGTGATCCTCTTCTAGGATTATCCTAGACATATACTAATCATTAGAAATGAGGGAAACCATGGAACCTATGTTTCTTTGAGTCTGGCTTACTTCACTTAACATGATTTCTTCCAAGTCTTTCCATTTCCTTACGAGTGGGGCAATGCCATTCTTTCTGATGCAAGCACAGAATTCCATTGTGTATATAGACACCATACTTTCTTGATCTGTTCATCTACTGAGGGGCATCTGAGTTGGTTCCATATCTCAGCTATGGTAAATGCTGCAGTGAACACGGTTGTGCTGGTAGCTTTAGTGTGGAATTGCTTGTGGTCATTTGGGTAAATGCCCTGGAGTAGGATTGCTGGGTCATAGGGGAGCTCTATGTTTAGCCTTTTGAGGAGCCTCCATACTGCTTTCCAGAGTGGTTGAACAAGTTTACACTCCCACCAAGAATGTAATAGTGTTCCCTTTTGGCCACATCCCCACCAGCATCTATTATTACAGGTGTTCTTGATAATGGCCATTCTAACTGGGGTGAGGTGGAATCCCAATGTTGTTTTGATTTGCATTTCCTTTATGGCCAGAGATGTTGAACATGTCTTCATGTGTCTATTGGCCATTCTTATTCTTCTTTGGAGAAGTCTTTTTTTAGCCCACTTATTGGTGGGGTTGTTGTATACTTTAGATATGAGGCCTGCGTCTGATGCAAAGCTGGTTAAAGTCTTCTCCCACTCCGTGGCCTTTCTATGTATCTTGCTAGCTGTTTGCCAGGCAGAAACTTTCAGTCTGATGCGATCCCATTTATTCACAGCCTTTCTTTGACTTGTGTTTCTGGGTCTTTACTTAGGAAGGAATGTGTTCTTAAAATGACATTAATTACAACAATTGGTAAGCGATATCCCTGAGAAATTACCTTGTGGGAGCAAAAAGCGAACTTCTTCCACATACAGTCATTCTGCTTTCTCATTGAATTGCTAGTTGAGTCTTTAGAGCATGGTTATTTCCTTCTTCTAAGGCCAATCTATAGTCGTACAAAGTGTGTACTAGCTTTGTGGATGAATGCCACTGGAGCCTCATATACTTTCTGTCCATTCTTTACACCTTATTACATGATTATTCGTGTGTGTGTGTGTGTGTGTGAGAGAGAGAGAGAGAGAGAGAGAGAGAGCACAAGCACTGTGCTGTTTTTCAAGGTGGATGGGAGAATCGGTGGTGGTTCCTTCTCTTCCTGTCTTCTCCCCCCCACCCCCTTCCTCTCCTCCCTCCCCTCCATCATCCTCAGGTGGACTCCTCTGGTCTCTGAACCGGGTGTGAGGTGAGGCTGTTACCTGTCTCTAGCCCAGAACCTTCCTTCAGCTTCCTTAGTCTGAGCCAGCCGCCCTCTCCCCTCACTCCCTCAGCTGGCGGCGCGCGGGTCGCCAGTGGGCTGCACCGGCCCAGGCCTGGTGGGGGGGGACCTGGGCCAGGCGAGGGGGGACCCGGGCCAGGCGGGGGGGGGGGGGGGGGGGGGGGACCCGGGGCCAGGCGGGGGGGGGGGCCGGGGCCAGGCGGGGGGGGGGGAGGGGGCGGGGCCAGGCGGGGGGGGGGGGACCCGGGGCCAGGCGAGGGGGGACCCGGGCCAGGCGGGGGGGGGGGGGACCTGGGCCAGGCGGGGGGGGGGGGCCGGGGCCAGGCGGGGGGGGGGGACCCGGGCCAGGCGAGGGGGGACCCGGGCTAGGCGGGGGGGGGGCAGGGGGCGGGGCCAGGCGGGGGGGGGACCCGGGGCCAGGCGGGGGGGGGGGGGGACCCGGGGCCAGGCGGGGGGACGGGGCTGCCGTCCACCCGTGACCTCGGGCGGCCCGGGCTTCCCTTCACCGGCCCTGGGGTGAGGCCGCACGCCCGGCGGGAGCTCAGCCCAGCGGCCAGCCGCCCGGCCCCGCCTGCCCCCGCCCCTCCCCGCCGCTCCCCTCGAGGAACCGGGGCCTCCCGGCCGGTCCCCTGCACCCAGCGGGCTGAGAGTTCAGATCCCGGTGGGAACTGGGGTCCCCCTCCCTCCCTCCTTCCTTCCCCCCCTTCCCCAAGCGGCGGTGGGGAGGGTGCCAGCTCCGTGCAAGTGACCCGGGCCTGTGCGGGGAGTGTGGGCCCGGGAGCCTGTGTGCACGAGTGCTCAGGGCGTGCGCACGTGTGCCCAGGCCCTGCGTGTACACGGGGCATGCGCAGTGCGCGGGGGGGGGGCTGCGTGTGCACAGAGTGTGCGCACGTGCGCTGGGGGGGGCCTGCGTGTACACGGAGCGTGTGTAGGTGCACAGGGGCGTCGTGTACACCGAGTGTGCGCAGTGCGCGGAGCGCTGCGTGTATAAAGGGTGTGTGCACGTGCACGGGGGCTGCGTGTGCACGGAGCATGAGCACGTGTGCAGGGGCGTGCGTGTACTCGGGGTGCGCGCACGTGCACGGGGGCTGCGTGTACTCGGGGTGTGCGCACGTGCACGGGGGCTGCATGTACACGGAGCGTGCGCACATGTGCAGGGGCTGCGTGTACACGGAGCTGCGCACACGTGCACGGGGCTGCGTGTACAGAGTGAGCGCACGTGTGCAGGGGCTGCGTGTACACGGAGCGTACGCAGTGCACGGAGCTGCGCATGTGCGCGGGGGCTGCGTGTACATGGAACGTGTGCATGTGTGCACGTGCGCGGGGGGCTGCGTGTACACGGAGCGTGTGTGCGCACGTGCGCGGGGGGGGGGTCCCTCCGCTGTGCACCCCATGCCGGTGCCTGCTCCCCTCTGTCTCCGCGAGCCTCGCCCGCACGGAGCACCCGAATCACCGAGGGCCAGGATCTCCCGCTCAGGGCTTGTGGGGGGGGAGGAGGAAGGGAGAGGAGGGGGGGGAGGTCGCTGCTGAGTAGGGAGGGAGGCTGGCCTTGAAACCTTCCCTCCCCATCCTTCTCCCTCCGCGCCCCCGGCCCCGCCCGCGCTGCGGGACGCCCCGCCCCTCACCTGGCCCCGCCCCTCTTTCTGGCCCCGCCCACTGACCGCCGGGGGGGGCGCCGTGGCCCGCCCCTCTCGCTGGCCCCTCCCCGTGGCCCCAACCCTCGCGCGGGCCCCGCCCCGTGGCCCCGCCCCTCCCGCCGGCCCCGCCCCCGGCCCGCCAGGCCACTGGCCCAGGAACTAAAAGTTGGAGCCGCTCACCCCCGCCCCCTGCCCGGGCCGCGGCCGGGGCGCCGCCCCCCAGCCCCGCGGGCTCCGCGCGGCCCGGCTCGCGCGCACGCGCACTCACGCGCGCGCCTCACACCCGCCGCGACCCAAACTTACCGGAGGCTCCGGTTGCTCCTTTTTTCTTCGGTGCCGAAGGACCCCGCGACGGCGGCCCGGGGCCCGTGGGGCGGCCTCCTCCGGGGCGTCACGGGGCGCCCGCGCGCCTCCCTTCCCCTTTAACTGCTCTTCTTTTCGAAGCCGGAGCCGCGCGCGGCCGCCGCCGCCGCCGCCGCCGCCGCGTCCCTTTGATGTTTGGGGCCGCCGCGCGCATGCGCCCCGCATTCGACTCCCAGCGCCGGGCGGACTAAGTTGGGTCCGCTGTCCTCGGCGGCCGCCGCGTCCCGCCGACCGCAGGGATGTGGAGAGCCCGGCGCGGCCGCGGCGTCTGGCCGCTGCCGCTGCTCCTGGCCGCCGCGTGCGCGCAGAGGTGAGCGGGCCACGGGCTCGGCCGGCGGGAGCGGGAGCGGGCGCGGGCGCGTCCGCCGGGGCGCCCGCCTGCCCGCCTGCCCGCCTGCCCGCCTGCCCGCCTGCCCGCCTGCCCGCCTGCCCGCCTGCCCGCCTGCCGGGGTGGGGGAGCCGGGCGCGGGCGGCGGGGAGGTCCGGGCGCCTGCCGGGCCGGGGTCGGGGTCGGGGCGCGGGGAGGTCCGGGCGCCTGCCGGGCGGGGGTCGGGGTCGGGGCGCGGGGAGGTCCGGGCGCCTGCCGGGCCGGGGTCGGGGTCGGGCGCGGGGAGGTCCGGGCGCCTGTCGGGCCGGGGTCGGGGTCGGGGCGCGGGGAGGTCTGGGGCGCCTGCCCGGGGTCGGGGCGCGGGGAGGTCCGGGGCGCCTGCCCGGGATCGGGGTGCGGGGAGGTCCGGGGCGCCTGCCCGGGGTCGGGGTGCGGGGAGGTCCGGGGCGCCTGCCCGGGGTCGGGGCGCGGGGAGGTCCGGGCGCCTGCCCGGGGTCGGGGCGCGGGGAGGTCTGGGTGCCTTCCTGCCCGGGGTGGGGGATCGGGGTAGTCCGGGGGTGCAGGGAAGTCTGGGGTGCCTGCCTGCCCGGCCGGTGGGGGCAGGGAGGTCTGGGGGTGCAGGGAGGTCCGGGGGCGCAGGGAATTCTGGGGGTGCCTGCCCGGCCGGGGAGCGGAAAGGTCTGGGGGTGCAGGGAGTTCCGAGGGAGCAAGGAGGTCCGGGGGTTCAGTGAGGTCTGGGGGAGCAGGGAGGTCTGGGGGTGCGGGGAGTTCCGAGGGAGCAGGGAAGTCTGGGGGTTCAATGAGGTCTGGGGGAGCAGGAAGGTCTGGGGTGCAGGGAGGTCTGGGGAGCAGGGAGGTCTGGGGGTTCAGGGAGATCTGGAGGTTCAGTGAGGTCTGGGGTGCAGGGAGGTCTGGGGGTTCAGGGAGGTCTGGGGAGCAGGAAGGTCTGGGGGTTCAGGGAGGTCTGGGGAGCAGGGAGGTCTGGGGGTTCAGGGAGGTCTGGGGGTTCAGGGAGGTCTGGGGAGCAGGGAGATCTGGGGGTTCAGGGAGGTCTGGGAGCAGGGAGGTCTGGGGGTTCAGGGAGGTCTGGGAGTTCAGGGAGGTCTGGGGGTGTAGGGAGGTCTGGGGGTTCAGGGATGTCTGAGGGTGTTGTAGGGAGGTCTGGGGAGCAGGGAGGTCTGGGAGCAGGGAGGTCTGGGGGTTCAGGGAGGTCTGGGGGTGTAGGGAGGTCCAGGGACCCCAAGCTCCGGCCCTGATGCCTGTGCCTGGTTCTCCCCCTGTAGCGTCAATGACCCGAGTAACATGTCGCTGGTGAAGGAGACGGTGGACAGGCTCCTGAAGGGCTACGACATCCGTCTCAGACCCGATTTTGGAGGTGAGGGGGGGCTGCCCTGGCAGCCAGACACAGCCCGGCTCCGCCCAAGCCGCTCCCCTCACCTGCTGGTGGGGGGCCGCCCCGGGACACTCACTCACCAGGACTAACGCCAGCCAACCTGGCCTGGGCTCGGATCTGGAGATGCTGCCCTGCCCTGCCTTCCCTTCCCTTCCCTTTCCTTTCCTTCTTTTCCTTTCCCTTCCTTTTCCTTCCCTTCCCTTCCCTCCCCTCCCCTCTCCTCCCCTTCCCTTCCTTTCCCTTCCCTGCCTTCCCTTCCTTCCCTGCCCTCCCTGCCCTGCTACCCTGCTGCCCTGCCCATCCACCTCTGCCCTAGCTCTCCTGGCTTTGCTTCCCGGACACACAAACCTCTTTAAGTTCAGTGTCCTGAGAATCTGGCTTGCAAAAAAAAAAAAAAAAAAAGCCATGACCTCCCAGGGCAGGGTGCAGGGTGCGGGTGCGGGTTGGTGGACAGGCGCATTAACTCCTTGTGGCCGCCTGCTTGGAAATTGTAGCCTGCTGGAAAGCGGCTCAGTCTGGAAACTCTCCATCCAGTCCTCGGAGCCTCACAGCATGGTGTGTGTGTGTGTGTGTGTGTGTGTGTGTGTGTGTGTGTGTGTGTGTGTGTGTGTGTGTGTGTGTGTGTGTGTGTGTGTGTGTGTGTGTGTGTGTGTGTGTGTGTGTGTGTGTGTAGGGTTGTAAAGGATTCAGTCTCTCCACAGCTCTAGATGAGCTGATAGTCCCATGTAATTTGGTTCCACAGTCCTGTGGAACCGAAAGAGTTAAACCCTACACAGGGAAGCTGGGTGGGGAAGCCCCTGGAGTTGGGCACACCTGGGAGCAATTCCTAGAAGGGCTTCCACCCCTCTTCCCAAACCAACATCAGAGGAGTCACTGTGGAGGTGGGGTGTGGGGAGGAAGGACTTCTGGGGGGAGTCACGCTGTCCATCTTGGTTCCCAGGACCCCCCGTGGCTGTGGGGATGAACATTGACATCGCCAGCATAGATATGGTCTCGGAAGTCAACATGGTGAGTGCTGAAATCTATGCCTAAATCTCTGCGGGGGGGGGGGGGGGGGAGAGAGGGGGAGGGTGCATGGGGTGGGTACAAGGGGGTGGGGTGCCGGCCTGCCTGGGGACAGCAGCTGGGAGTCTTGCTTTGGAATTTGCTGTGCTCTAGAGTACCAGGATTCCCCCCTCCCCCCAGGTGCTTCATGATATTTTTTCCCCCAACCTGGTCCAAAGCTTGGGTCTTGGGAGTAGTGAGTGAAATGCATGGCCATCTGCATGGGAATCGCAGCCTGGGCGTGGGGTGGGGGCGGCTAAGTCTGCTCAGACCCTAACCATCCAGGGACTGACTTGGCCCGGCCTGTGGTTTGTTCTGTGGAAGGCAGGAGGGGGTCTGTTGGGATGGTTTTATTTTTAACTGGAAATGTCTTTCGAGAGCATGTAACATCCAAATGATCCGGTGACAGGTGCCATACCAGGTCCTGAATTAGTGATGGCCACTTGTTGCTTTTGGAGATCACCAGTGTGTAGTTCATGCCAACACCCCCATTCCCACTGCTATCCACCACCTTTAACCCCTTCTGTTCACCAAAAGAGAGACAAGAAACAGGCTACCTAGTTTCCCAAAGGCGGGTGTAGCCCTGTGTGTCAGCTCTGGTCACTTGTCTGTTGGGGTTCAGGTGAATCTCAGGCTTGCACAGTTGATTGACAGCTCCCCCACTACCGACTTCTTGCTTGGAGTAGGGGTAAGGTTCAAAGAAAAAACCAGTGTTCCCTAAGCAAAGCCCTTGTGGGGGCTTTGCTTCATGCAGGAGCGCCCCCTGCTGCCCATGTTGGAGCACTGCAGACATGCATGAGAAGGACAGGTGTCCCAGATTCCCCCTCTCGTTGGGGGGTACTTTTCTTGTGTTCCTGAAATCTTACCCCTTTGAAAAGTTTCTCTAGATAGGGCACCATAAGACTTTAAATCTAGAAAACATACTGCGCACCTCAAAAAATGACATTGTGGTATCATTCTGTCGACAAATCCTGGATGGATAATAATTAGAGAGATAAAATTGTATATTTCCATGCAAACACTTCTCAGTCAGCAGTCAGCACTAGACGCCTAACTGAGTGTGACCTAAAGTTAGTACACACTAATTAACTCAAGAGGGCCCACTACTCGGAGTTGGGCATGCTGTCAGCATGACATAAATTTCCCAGAATTCACAGAGCAAACTCAAACACCAGCATTATTCCTATGCATTTTGCACTATCCACAATTAAGTCACAGTCTGTAGGTGTCTCAAGATGTTGAGGCATCCATTTCTGCATGCTCTTTTCCTCTCGGGTTTTGTTTTACCAGCTGCTTCTGTGGAGCACCCTGAAAATGGTAGCTCTGTGGGGAAAATAATATTAAGAAACAACTAGACTTCTGAAAGACAGTCATGAAATGGCTACAGGTTACTGCGCGATGCTAGCCAAGCACTCTGATGTATTATGTGGGAAAAGTGCTTCGAGTGGTAAAGCTTTCCTTTCTTTACCGTCCTAAAAGTTTTGCTCCTTTTCCCCCTGCAGAAGGTATTCTGAGGTGGACATTATGCCAAGACCTGCTAGTCAAAATATAGTTCTAGCTAAAGCAAGGTGCCATCACGTCAGGCTATTTACTGTTGCTGAAAAATCATGGGATGTTGGAAGTGTAAAAATAATGTCAGGTTGTAAATGGGACAGCATTGCAGCATTAATGATTAAAACCAAGTGTTAAAAATTCCGAGCCAGACTCCTTTCTTAGCCTCATGGTAACACTCAAGGATTTGTCCAGCCACATTTTGACTTGTTGAAAATTAGCATCTAGTTCAGCTAGCAATCTTGATGACCTCATATTCAGCCTCCAAAATGAAATTTTATAACATAGGTTGCTGTTAACTTTGGTTTACAATATATGGTCAGTTGCTTAGAAGCAGCACATGCTGAACTCTACCGTTGGTGCCTAACAAATGCTGTGTGTTGGTGGCAAATAATAATTCTATACAGGAATAACAAGGATAGGATCTTGGGGGTAGATCTACTTCCTGAAGAACGGCTGATTGATTATTTAGTTGATTAACACATTTCTCCCTCAGTGGGGATTGTTTGTGGATAGAAATATCTGGTAATTGCCACTTTTATTATGGCGTATCTCCCTTTAGCGCATGGTAGGCGCTAGATGAGCTAAATTGTCATTGACTCATCTGTAATGAAGAAATAAAGGTCCGCATCTACGCGATGCTCTTTGTAAGTGACAGTGATGGAAAGATGCTCAGCTGGACCAGGATTCATGGATGGCAGTGCCAGTTCTCATCCTTAGAGAGGCCCAGCGTCCTTACCTATTCAGGTAGCCCTTCACCTGTCCTGAGTTTCAGACCTCCTAGTAATTGTGCCTAAGGAAGACTAGGCTAGCAGTCCAGCGACCCCGGGGTCCACTCTACCCGATTCTTTAAGCATGCTTGCGTTGACCATGGACGGTACTAGGCCTCACTTTCTTCCTTTTCTGAGATGAGAAGGGATATGCTAAATTCATTTCCAGCCCACAGTTCCATGTGCCTCCAGCTTAGTAACAGTGACTGGTGTAAAGAACTTTAGAGGGGAGGGGGGGGAGACAGAGAGGGGGAGAGAATATTCCTAAAGAGCAGAGTGTGAGTGCTCTGGAAGCTGGTAGTGGCCGGGCAGCCACGTGGTTCTTGGGACTGCCACCTCAGAGAAGATCCACGAAGAACGTCTCAACTCCAACGCTCCTGGGCAGGAAGCGGGGCCTTGCAAGGGTGTATTTTTAGCCGTCTTAGTTAAATTGGCAGGAATCTTTTTGTTAAGATTCTTTGATGAAAATTCCCTTATTTTTTTCCTTCCTTTTTTGAGATTCAAATCTGGTTCTGAGGACTGAGGACTGAAATAGCTCTCTCTTCATTCGCAGCAGCTCCTTCTCCATCTTGCCAGCGAGTGCGGCGATATTTCACTTTTGAGGAACGAGTTCTAGTAAACACATACACAAATTACCTTTCTATGGGATAGCAAGTGGAGAAAAGTACGGCTTTTTTTTTTTTTCTTCTTCTCCTTTTGAACAGATGTTTCTTGCATCACCAGCTGCACAGTTTAAAATCCCATTCCACAACAAATAGGTCTTTAGCAGCCACGGGGAGGCAGGCGCGTGGGAGCCTGATGGATACAGCCATGACATCGCCCGTTCGTCCCCTGACCTCGTAGAACGGAACCTCCAGATCCCTTGTTCTCACATTCTACCTGGTGTTCTTCCATCGAGCCGCCGAGCTCTGGGTCTTGTCTTCTCTCTCAGAGCAGTCAAATAAGGGCCCTAGGAGTTTGTCTCCAATCAATTTTATCCTCTCCCCCCCCCCAAAAAAAAAAACTTTACCAGTCACTGGGTATTTGCTATATGTTTAATAGCTCAAGTTGTCTTGCACGTACCATAGTCTCTCTTCTTCTATCACAGTCATAAATTACAGACTAGACACGTGAGTTTCTCCTCCAGTGTGTGTCTTCCCTAGATCCTGAATGAACAGTCCGTTTTTGCAGCAGTGCTCCGTGTAATTCGTCTTATACTAAACCATTTCTGCAGGGAACTAGGCCCTGCACTCACGATGCTCACCCTCAAGGCACTGCCTTTTAAAACAGCCATGTAGAAAGAACCTCAATTTAGGGTTATAGGTGTGCTGAAGGAGGAAAATACCTAGAACTTAGTCAGAACATAGTATACTGACCAACTGCATAAAAATTTGCTCAGTGAAAAGGTTAGACGGGCTGGGAAGGTGGCTCGGTGGTAGAGCGCTTGCCTTGCATGCCTGAGGCCCTGGGTTCGATTCCTCAGCACCACATAAGCAAAAAGAAAAAAGCCTGAAGTGGCGCTGTGGCTCAGGTGGTAGAGCGCTAGCCTTGAGCTGAAGAGCTGAGGGACAGCGCCCAGACCCAGAGTTCAAGCCCCACGACCGGACCCCCCCCCCCAAAAAAAAAGGTTAGACTTCTGTGGATAAACATCTGTGCTGGGGGAAACAAAGGCATATTGAAGAGTGGATGGGAGAAGAGGAAGTGCATTGAGTAAGATGGATCTCCAAGAGACTGGGCGGGGTTGGAGTGGAGGTTAGAGTTGGTGCCGAGGCATGGACGCAGGTCCGATGCCGTCGCTGGCTAGGTGTCTTACTCAGGAGTTTGCCTTTTTATTATATAGTGTTTGCTTTTATGACATTTTTGCCCAAGGCAGTTGGGGCTCACAAACGGATGTCGAGAGGGAACCAGGTAGATTCCGGGCTCCAGGAGGCGCGGGGGGCGGGGCAGGAGAAATGCCCTTTCAGGCTCGAAGGAGGGACGGTGGTGGAGCAAGAGCGCCTGGCAGCAGCCAAGGGCTCTCCTGCAGAAGACCTGCTGCTGTCTGCAGTGGAGCGGTGCTCGCTCCACAGGTGCAGGGCAGGGGGCTGGGTGGAGAGGAAGGGACTTGGGAAGCAGGGACTGTGAAGAAGGGTGTGGAGATACAAGGAGGTCACAGGCAGGCTCAGCTCTAACCTGGAAGCTCTTCCTCTTTTTCTCCTTTCCTTTTGCTTCTCTGTCTCTTCCTCGTTTTCCTTCTTCCCCTGTTCCTTCTGTCCTTCCTTCTCCTCCCTCCCTTCCTCTTCCTCCTCCTTCCCCTCCTGGCTCCCCCCTCCCCTTCTTCTCCCTCTGCCTTCTCAATGCTTAAACATCTCCACCATCATCCCATTAATATAATGAAATAATTGCAGCCACAGTGTATGGGATCCTTCACCTATGCAGTCATTATGTTAATGCTCGTTATCTCAATCAGGCCTGCTATAAAAAGTGAGATTGCATCCATTTATTTATTTATGAAAGAAGAACCTGAAGCCCAGAGAGGTTAGGTGACTTGTTCAAGGTCACTAAGCGAGCAATCAGTGACCTCCTTGGTGCAGCATCGCAGCATGGGGCATTTGTAAATGCTGCAGAGCTCCGTGTGTGAGTATTTCATCCCGTCAGCACCCTGATTGGTTGGAGTTGTTTCTG